GTTTTGATGTCCTACCAAATATCACATGCAACCAGATCAAACCAATCCACAACTCTTACAATTGAGATAACAGCCTTAGGTTGTTTTAATAAACAACAGATAGTACTGTATATTAAAGGGGACCTATCATGCAAAATCCACTTTTTCATGTATTTTATACATAAACATGTGTCCTCTCTGTGTAAAGAGATTCTGAAAGTTTCAGGAAAAAAGATTTGCTCACTTTTTCTGCTGATCCATTTATATAAAAACCTGAAATGAGCTGATCAGATTTTGGCCACTTTATGATGTCATAACGATTTTTTGGCTTGTGTAACCATTAGCCAATAACCAACCAAGGTAACACCCGCCCACCTTATCTCCTGAATCTCCTCCTAGAGCACCATTGTGTTCTTTTTAACCAAATATCTCGCAGAGGGGCGAGAGGTGTCCAACTACACAATACGAGAGGTGTCCAACTACACAATACGAGAGGTGTCCAACTACACAATACGAGAGGTGTCCAACTACACAATACGAGAGGTGTCCAACTACACAATACAATAACATTTGTTTTAGAACTTCAACAAGGTATGATTATACACAGGATATATTTGAAGATACTGTAGAAGAAGACAGTAAAGGATTGTGGAGATATGTAAGCAGAATGACTGACTGCTGATCAAAGAGAACCAGTGGATTATAATATTCCTTATATACAAAGAGTGAAGGAATATACAGGTACATTTTTGACAATATTGTAGAGTTAAATAGACAGCAAAAGTGTATTGACAGTGGATTATTTTCTAAATGCAAGCTTAAAGTCGGTTGGTGCAAACAGCTGTTTACTAAATGTAACTTCATCACATGAAATGGAAATAAATAAGCAATAGGTATGGTGAACTTGCTGTTCTCCTGAAATTAGCTGTAATAATAGGGAGATGTTGGGGTCTGTGTTTGATGTGTGGTGTGGTGTGAGGTATGAACCTGGCTTGTTGTAATATGAGCTGTGGACATCATGGTGATGCAACACAACAGTGCCTCAGGGAAGAAGCAGCAACAGCCACACAAATGTGCTGGTCTATATTCAGTACTGTTACAGGTTTATTGTCTATGTAAATATGTATTTTATGTTTGCATATAAATGTGATAAGTCTCAAAAAATCCCTTTGAGTCCATATGGACATGTTCCCAATTAACTTCTTGTTTACTCAGCGAATATGTCCCCCTTAACTTGAAGTGCATAAATAATTCACTGCAAGTTGAAGAGACAAGCCAAAAAAGTGCATGGGCCTGAAGCCAGAGAGGGAGGGGGAAAGGATGCAAATAGAAAACAGACAAATGACAGAAACAACAGAGCGGTCCACATAGTGTGGGCACTGGAGCGGAGCTGAGAGAATGTCACTCAGGTCACAGGGATTTGACGGATGAGCTTTGTTACTGGCTCTGAGTGACCTCGCCTTTCAACCCCTCTCAGCCTCAATGACACAAACAAACAAGCACACACCTACATACACATACATAGAAAAAGATACCTGGGGGACTTATATGTGTATACTCTGTCAGGAGCACAGCACACACACTCTTCTAACCACAAACATGCCCACTCAGTCACATGGTATGGTATACATGGTGTGACATGCAAGGCAATGACAGGCTTTCCACATCATCAGCTGAGGCACAAGCCGAAATTCCTGACCCATACCTGCCCTCCTCACTAAGGTCCTGTGGGCATAAAAACTCAAATGAAAGGGTAGCAGCACTTGTGTGTGTCTAATGTGTGATAGACTTGACACGCTATTCACTCACACATGAAAACAAAACACACTAAAACATATGACGCATCACCGCTGCATACAGTTTGGTTTTTCATTCGTTACATCTACACTGATTATGTCCATCTGATGAAATGGGGAAGAAGTGGACAGCTGGGGGAAAAGGAATAATAGATAAATAGATGCATAGATGGTAGCCTTTTAGACATATGGATTTGTGAATAAAGAGACTAATTTGAAAGTGTTCCCGGTTCGCCGGGTGTTCAAAAATCAATCCTCCTCTCTGTCAGGTAAGCAGGTTAACTCACATTTAACCTGGACTTGTGATCATGGTCCTAAGGGCTACTTCATAAACCAAGCAACTGTGTAAATATAATCAGGCAGTGATGCAAATACAAGAAAGGCATGGCTGCGATGGGACACACAGTCTTTATAATAATGAACACACATCACCTTAGCAAGACCAGTGCAGTCCAAGCATTGTCCAGTGAGCCTAATTAATCACGACTTTGGTTAGCAGCCAACAGAAAGGGCGGACAGCCCCCTTCTGTCTGAAACCTCCACAACACTGCTCCAGAATGAACCCAAATCCAGGGTTAACACAATTACCAGCATGTCCCCCTAACCATACATCCAACACCACACCACAGGCACTGTAATTGGTGTGCCTCAAATAGCAGGGAAAAATTAGAAAAGCAGTAGAGGGAAAGAGGTGATTAATTTGCTGGAGGAAGAGGTCGATGGCGATGTAAATCACTGCTTGTCAGCGCAATTTAATTTCCCGGATTCCCTCGGCCTTGTCTGCCACGCCAGCCTTGCTCACTGATTGGTTAGCGTCAGGTCTTAGCTGAAGAAGTCAAAGAGTGAAGGGCACCATGCATAGCTTAATTACATCATAGAACCCTGTACAGGAGCGTACTTGTTTGCATGTTTTCCCTGGTTACAGGGGATTGGGGATCAGGAGAACAGAGGACTAAGAACATCTGTGGCAACATCAGCAAAGTCTAGATGAGCTGTCCTCAAATGTTATCACATTTAGTTATATTTAAGACTTCAGCAGGCATAGTTACGGACTCTCATTATGAGATATGAATAAAACTGCTCTTCTGATTTGATAGGAACAAAAATAGTCATGGAACTGAAGATAATAAGGCTGCACTCAGTATGAAATTGAAGCACAGTCGAAGCTTTGATGTGCTCTTCTCTATCAGTAAAAGACACACACAGCATCAAAACACCTTAGTGTTGCCATCAAAACAGCTCCCCAGGTTTAGACTTCAAACCTCACCTGCTCTATTGACTCTCCAGATAATGCCCTCAAGGAGACTTTGTTTGCATTAAACAACATCAAAATGCCGACTTCAATCTATAATCCAATCCCCTCCTTTTACACCCTGTTTTATTAGCAAGCTCAGCGGCGCAGACAACAGAGATGCTGTTCCTCTTTGTTGCTAAATAAGACCCATTCAGCAAGGTTTACCCACAGGGGTCAAGCATACAATGCAAGCTATTCCTGGGGAGCGATTAGCTCTCAGCCACACCGATGTAAGGTTGTGTGTCCTCTGGCCCTTATGACACTTCCTGTGCCCACCTGAGCGTCCACATCCTGCCAATCATTTACACTGAATGTTATTGGCAAACAGCCTAAAGTAATAATTGTAACATTATTAACTATAATCTAACGAGAGCATTTTCAACCAGAGCTCAAAAGTACAGATGATAAAGTACATGATGTGTTTTGTTTCTTTGCCTATATTTAGATGAAGACAAATAATTGTTCCGACTCTCTTTTTATACCTGAATTGCTCTGACTCACAGACTGACTTTATGTCTTTGATGTGGAGGTGTGTGGCGCAGTGGACTAGTGTGTTGGTGTTCGGATCAGGGGAGCACAGGTTCAAACCCCACTGCAGTCAGCATGTCGTTGTGTCCCTGGGCAAGACACTTCACCCCAAATTGCTCCTGTGGGGATTGCCCACAGTATTGTGTATGTAAGTCGCTTTGGATAAAAGCGTCTAACAAGTGACATGTAATGTAATATAATGATCTTCTTTTGCATGTGTTGAAAGAAATATCTGAAAGTAATTCTAAAATAGGCTCTTTGTATAACATGATTATACTATTTATTGATAATATATACAGTGCTACCACAATTTACATTCATCACTTTCGGAGAGAGCTACCAGGGTGGTTTTATGAAACAAGTAAGAATATCTTCTCCCAGGTTAGACTGGCAGTAAAGGTTGTGTAGGGCCACTGGAGGCTGGGGAACAAACATTACAGGAGGACAGATGAAATACATGACATGCTAAAAATAATAATAATAATATATATACACATTTCCTCTATTGCAAACCTTACTACAAAAGGCAGACAGATACATATGTGTTACATTGACAGTGACACAAGCTAATTTTCACCAAAGTCCCAAAGCAATGTCAATGAGGTGGCAATAGACACAAAGACACCCACCCACCCACTCAGACACATCCATGCATGTACACATCATAGCTTTTAAGCTCTCTCATACACACACACACACACACACGCACACACTTAAGTAAAAACCCACGCACAAACTCAGGCATGCCGGGAGTCCTAATGACCAGTGCAGTGTGTTTGCGAGGGCGTAAGAGTGTGTTTTGAATTAGGAAGAGGAGAGGCAGAAGATGAACTAACGATGGCTGCTAATAATTACAGATCTGTAGTGTGGAGGAGTTAATGAGGAGCCAAAGCCTCCCATGATGCCCCAGTAATAATGAATGAGGAGTGAGAGAGAAAATGGATTGGTGGGTGGGGGGGGGGGGGGTTGGAAGCTGTCAGTTTGAGAGGCCGCAATGCCCTTTGGTTTCACTGCACTCTGGGCATGTCAACGAGAGAGGAGCCTTCCCAGAGGAGGCTTGTCTCCACACTAATGAAGATGTGACAGCCCTCCAGTTCGTGACTTGCAGAGTGTAGGAAAGAGGAAGAAGGGGGATGAGAAAGACAGACAGCTAATATAAAATGAAAGGCACTGAAAAGGTGAAAGGTTGCAAAGACCTTCAGAAAGAAAGAGACAGCGTCACAGAGAAGCAACACTGATTAGACTGATAGGTGATGGTTGTAGCGACGTTTCGTATGCTGTGTGTATCAATAACAATTTGACTTGACACTTCAAAGACACATTACATGCTGAAAAAGCCATATTCGGAAAATATATGGTTCCCCTGGCCCTTTAGATAAAAGTTGAACATTGCAAGTACTCACCAGTGAACTGGTGTAGCTGGGATCAGAAGTGTCGTCCTGTAGGTAGCGAGACAGGCCGAAGTCAGACACTTTACACACCAGGTTGCTGTTGACCAGAATGTTTCGTGCAGCCAGGTCACGGTGAACGTAGTTCATTTCGGAGAGATATTTCATCCCAGCTGAGATCCCACGCATCATCCCTACCAACTGGATCACGGTGAACTGACCATCATTTTGCTAGAGGACAGAGAAAAAAAAAGTTATTTAGATATTATCTTTGGCGCAATTAACATAAATGAGAATAGCTGGAAGATAGAGAGGTGTCAGCAAAGCTTTTTAATGATAATGAACTAATTACATTGGTTCTTTACTGAATCATAGATAGGATGCTGATAACAAATACTAGGCCTGATTGTCCTTATATGTATATGATGAATACAAATATACATACAATTGGATCTTTTCTGCTAGGAAATATCAAATCAAGTGAAAAATAAATTAAATGTTTGTCCTTTTTTCTAATGTATTTTGCATACAACATGTAGTCGTCAAAAAGGCTGCCCAGTGGGAATGTGCTTCAATTTAAAGGCTTTGTAGTCTATTATTATTACCAAAGCCAGCGGGTCTATGTTCATAAAGTGGCAAAGGAACAAGATGTGCTGTCACATCTGGCATTTACATTTACTAGTAGGCTAATATATCTGATTTCCCAACTGTTGACATTAGAGCTTTTTCTCTAGCAAGTAATTAAGTTCACTTATTTCAGGATACGTTTTTTTTGGCGCCACATTTTTAATTATTTGTTGTTTACACTCAGCTATTATAAAATCAACATCCTGCACTCTTTAATTGCCCTTTAAATCCTCTTCATAACCAGTGGAAAATTAGACTTCTATTAGATAGGGAAATGGATTCTTGAAGCCAATCTTGCTCATTGCCGGTTTCAGAGCAGTCTTCCATTAGGACTTGATGACATCCATCTCTTCAACATCCAAGCATGGCGCCCCTACCCCGGTACGAATGTTTTGAAGAGCAAGCTTTGAACCCCCGAAACACGGTAACAAATAAGAGGGTAAGGGAGATCGATGGGAACACAAGTCGGATGTGGCGGTTAGCAAAGCCAACTTCAAAGAGCCCCTTTAAACCCACCCTAGATCAAAGTGGAATAGAACACCAATCCATGAGATTGAAGAAGGGAAAGAGCGAGTTGAATATTGATTAAGCTGTATGTCCGCTCAATCCCGACTATAAAAGAAAGTGAGGAGTTCATTAAACGCTCCAGGCATTTATAGAGAAATTAAAGCTGATAGAGCTAGCTAATGGAAAATTCGAAATTAAGAATGATTGAAATCATGTTCATTGTCATGAAACATATTCTCTGTTGGCACAGGATAGATTAAGAAGGCTCATTCTAATTTGTATTAGGAGCGATTCCTAGCATGCGCTCCTTTACGGGACTGTTTAACAATTAATTTCCAATTAACTCCTCAGTTTCATAATGGAACAGCTTATATTAGACTTGAGAATATGGCTTCTCATCACCTAATATAACTGCTAGCAACTGTGTATGACATAGTAGCCTACAAGTATGTTTCCACAACAATGACTCACCCTGAGGAATGAGTCAAGGGCACCATTCTCCATAAACTCTGTGACTATCATGACCGGTCGGCTCTTTGTGACTACACCCTCCAGACGGATGATGTTGGGATGATCGAACTGGCCCATGATTGAAGCTTCAGCCAGGAAGTCCCGCCTCTGCTTATCCACGTAGCCTGCCTTCAGGGTCTTGATGGCTACATAGATCTCCCTCTTACCAGGCAGCTTCAAACGGCCCTTGTACACCTCCCCAAATTCACCTAGAGGGGAGATGGAAAGAGGAGCACAGTGGTACCTGTCAAAACCCAGAACTGATAACGTTTTGTTTGATCAAAAAGTGATCAAACAAAACATTAGTAGAGTTGATGAGATCTAAATCTATTCATTTATTCATCTTATTTACATCTCATGTCCCTTGGCAGAAATTATTGATTTTTATTTAGTCTATATCAAGCACCCTGAGTGTTGTCCAATACTCCTCTATTGTTGCTACATCATGATATGTTTAACAGTGTGGTTCCCCCGACTCACATGATTTAGCTGTACTAAAGGCCGGCCAACTGTTTTCATACCCCCCCCCAAAAAAAAATAAACTGGCAAGCAGTATCTGGTAAATATCTGGATTAATTATCTCCACCTTGGTATCCTGCAGAGACACCACACAGTGAAATCAACAACACCGGAAATCTTTAATTAGTTAGTCCCCTTGAATGTTATCCCATCCCTGTTACTTCCTCACACCTAGCTTGCTGAGTAGGCCACTCGTTATTCCAGGCCCAGAATAATGTTTGTGTTCCAGCCTCTCTACAGTACAAACCAACACATACTGTTATCAGCATGCCCTTCCTGCTGAAAAAAAAGGTGTGTCCAGTCCCAATGAAAATACATGTTGGGGACACAAGTACATGCTAAGATGGAGGTATTTAAGCTTTATAATTTACTTAAAGGTCACCTATAATAGGTGACCTTTAAGTAAACCAATCCACAACTCTTACAATTGAGATAACAGCCTTAGGTTGTTTTAATAAACAACAGATAGTACTGTATATTAAAGGGGACCTATCATGCAAAATCCACTTGTTCATGTATTTTATACAGAAACATGTGTCCCCTCTGTGTAAAGAGATTCTGAACTTTTCAGGAAAAAAGATTCGCTCACTTTTTGTTCTGATCCATTTATATAAAAACCTGTCTGAAAATAAGCTGATCAGATTTTGGCCACTTTATGATGTCATAATGATTGTTTGGCTTGTGTAACCATTAGCCAATAACCAACCAAGGTAATCCCCCCCCCCCCCTATTAAAGTAACAGACAGAGAATCAGCACTTTTGAAACAGGGCTGAAACAGAGGGGTTTATTGGATGCTACAATGAATGATCTGTTTGGTATTTCAAGCAAAACACTTCAGAGACATGTTTTGTATATATATCTGTGAACTATAATATATTGATGAAAAACAGTATAATAGGGGACCTTTAAAAGCAATAATCCCCTAATTAACATTTCATTAATTTGACCAAACAAACAAGGAAACAGGGACAGAAAACTAAAAATGTCTCTACCTACTTTACATGCTAGTCATATAAAAAGGGCAAGGTAGAACATGTGATAGAGCAACACTAATAGGCTCCTAAACAGAGAAGCGCAGGGAATAGGCTGCAAGGCTTGAGTTATTTCTAATGACATTGAGTCCCAGGGTAGCTGGCCTATATGCTGCTGGTGCTCTTGACATGGGCCCCAGACATGTTCCCATGTGATGTGGCTGGTAAAAGTGCTGGGCTTTATGACCTTGAACAGATGCAGGTTAAACTTGTTTGCACTCGAGCACACAGATATACACATGTAACATAAATAGATAAAGATACAGCTACTCACATTAACCTCACATGCACATGTAAGGAAACACAGACACACACACGTTGTTCCATAGCACCCATACCTGCACCGATGACCTCTTCGATTTTGACGGTGGAGACGTCAATCTCTTTGGCAAATTCTCTCACAGCTTCGTTGGGGTCTTCGTAGGTAAAGGGATCGATGTAGATCTTCATCCCCGGGGAGCCTGAGAAGTGGGTCGGGCAGCCCAGTGGGGAGGGGCAGTTAGACATGTCGGCTCGCAAAGAGAGTTCTAGAACAACCAAAGTGCTCAATAAGCTTTTGAGAAGAAGACACTCTTTGTTTGTTTTTTCCTTGGCTAATGATGGTATTAATGATTAATGAATGCAATAGCCCTTTAAGTCAGAGCCTCCATCAGTGTGTGTCACAGCATCACTTACAATCACAACAGGCTCTTAACAGTTTAAAGGATAATAACTCCATTTAGTCTATGGTCCGCTTTAGAGACAGGTTAGTGCACTATATTATGCAAATAAATATTAGCAGATAATGCACACATTAAATAGTGTTATTGGTTTATTACAGGAGCGCCCCATGTAGAGTAAAGCAATACAATGCAAATGGTGGTTTGATGATTCAGTAGTTGGAGTGACAAAAAAAAGAGAAAGATGAAGGGATACAGTATATGGAAAGAGTTTATGTGGACCGTTTTCTTTTCTTTTTAAACGTGTATTCCTTACGCTAGCGGTCTTCTTTTTGATAGCTGTAGAACCAATTTTCCCCAAAGCCTTTCCCTATAGGAGCTCATAAAGAGATAAAACCACTGCGCTATCAACTATTTCTTTTTATGCTGCTCTGCAATAGGTGAATCAGTTCACAGACTGGAGATGTCTGCAAACGGAGGAAGGGGGGGAAGAGTGTTGAAAAACACTTGTAAACAAATTCAATACCCACTGCCACAAGACGGACATTAGGGCGAGCAAGCAGACGTCAAATCATCATTTCTACAGTGACACCCAAGGGCAGCCCTCTTTCTCACAGCCGTTTAGTCAAAACCTTGGCAGCCATGATTGGAATAAACCCATCTCCATCAAGTCAATTTGTGCCTGCTTATTTGCATAAGCCACATAGATAGAGGGAGGGGTCTCGAGAGACATGAAGAAGATAAGGTCTGGTCTTGGAGGGATCAAGGTGCCTCACCTCGTTCTTGACTAAAAGCTGATTCTAGTTACTGCACTAATTGCCTTGAACCCTGTCTGTGTGAATGTAATTGCTCATTAGAGATTCCATACAGATTGGATTCAAGTTAATCCATCAGAGGGTTTGGAGCTTTGCATTCCATAAAGTCGTTCTATTTACAAGTGTCGCCAAGCTGCTCTCCCAGCAGCACCACTGCTTCTGACTCAAGATATCTGAAGGGAGCATATACAACAACAAACATAGGAAACATGCGCACAAAATCTCATGCACGCACAGCCGCGTACACATAGAGTACGTACACCCATTGCTTTCTGATTCACAGTCCAGAGCCCACATTCATATTTAATTTAAAATGCAAACAGTTTATCTCTCTCCCTCCCCGTGGTACAGCCCTCTTAAACTGGACTCATCCTTTTATGGCCATCAGATAAAAAATAGATTCCTTCTTTAATATTTTATATGTCCTTCATTTAAGAGTTTGAAGCAAAAGTATCCCAACGTCAGTTCTATTTTCTACACAAGATATAAAATAGCAATCCTGTCGGGAGAAAATGCACGGCTGCTGCAATGACTCATGGGAGTATAACACATACTTTATACCTTTTTCAATTAGATCACCGCATAAGGAATGGATAAAAACTCAATTTGGATTATAAATCTAAACAAATTCCCTAGGCCATGACACAATTGCTAAAAACAGTTAAGGCTATTAAGTTGACCTGAATTATAAATTACAGTTTACTGCACGGCACCATGTTATTTTCACCAATGTCCAACATTTAGCCTGGTATTTGTCTGCCCTGCTCGTTAACTGAACGGCCCTAATGTATCCACAAATCAACTGTAAGGCAGTAATGCGTACTTTAAACTATTACTGGCTATTGGTACAATCAAATTACTGGTCCTACTGCACAGAATTTACATATTGCCTTAGGACAAACAGCAAAGTGAAACTGTAGCTTCATAAATGCTTATCTTTTAATCTTTAATGAACAATTTATATATCTATGAATCTTTAACCAAAAACATAATTCCTTCTTATTCCTTTTCCCAGACAATATTCCAATTTACATATTTTCAATATATAGATAATCTACTTTGAGAAATGAACATACACAATTTCAGGACACTGTACGCCTATAGTAAATTCAGTCCCGCTTGTGTCCATCTGAGATGCACACTAATCTCCTCTGTGGCTCTGTGATTATAATGAGCTGAGTGTATTTCCTAAACACAAACTAATTATCCATCGTTTGATGTCAGAAAATCTGTTGTCAGAAACAGCGCAGCTTATTAGCATGGGAATCACAGAGGGGATCTAAAAATTGTCTGGGATTAACAGTCACATTGTTACAGATGTGAGCTTTTGTTTATCAGGCATTCTGCTAGTCCAGACCTATAGTACAATGTCGCAATATTCTACAGCTTCTTACCAATACTATCTATGCCTCAGCTAATGCATTGACTTTACATTTATAAATGCAATTGGCAGTGGCACCAAAAATAACTATATACAAATGTATTTGGCATCTAACAATAACCACATGTGGAAAATAGGCCTTCTAATCCCATTCTCATTCAGTGTGAGCAGCAGATGCTGAAGCACAAACAACAGCTGAAGCGACAAAGCAACATACAGGGTTTGAACATTAGTGTTTTAAAGATGTGTTGCAAGTCATCTGCAGAGAAGCATTAGGGCACATGTAGCGCTTAGAAATGTCTGTCTGTTAATTAGCTGGTGTTGACAGGTTGTTGATGTGTGGAAAAAGTGAGAAAAATGGTAAATGCTCTGACGCAGTGAGGTGTGTATGATACGTTGAGATGAACGCTAATGATGCACTGATGTGTACAATTAAAACAAAAGTCATCCATGCCACACAAGCAGTCCTTGGTTCATCTGTTGGAATGATGTGTTTGTTCACGCATGGGTCCCTGCCTGTCATGACATCCCACCCACTGGTATAATGTTAGAGGTCTAATTTTCATAACCATGACCACACTACGAAGCACATACTAATTTTACAGTATGAGCACCATCCCTCTTGACGCCTGTCACATTAGGTGCGCTGGGAATGAAGACACATCACCTAACGTGTGTGGCAACAGCTGGAACAGTAAGCAGCTGTTTAAAACCCTGTAACACATTTTTGGAGATTCACCCAAAACAATTGGCTGAGCTGCGCTATTTAATTGTTGCGTTGAATACTGTAATTACAAAACTGCCAGTCAAATCTTTAGAGAATAGAAGACAACAATACATCATGGGATGGGAAATTACTTCATGAGGTTTGGCGATGTGAATGTTGACGGAACAACTTGTGAATAGGATCCCTTATCAGCGTTTTATTTCTTCTCTGCTTCAGATTGCTTATTTGTGATTAGGGCGGCAAGCTTCTCTGATCTTTATTTATTTTCACCACTCATGTTAATTGCATTTTGTTTAACCAAAGATAGCCTGTGACAAAACTTACTCTGCCCACAGCAGGTTTAACGAGCCCTAGGCTGCCACTGCTGAAGCTTTGACACAAAGTAACTGTGCTGAAACGCTTTGCTGTGTCAGGCTCAACAAAACTCTATACCCTCGAGTGAGCCCCTTTTCAGACTGCTAAGTCGGCAGTAGGGCTTTCATTTGTGGTACAAATCTCATACACACCCTTAAGTGTGTATGTGAGCGAGCATGTGTGATGGAGGTTATGTGTATGTCCCTTCAGGCTCCTTCCCCTCATCAGGTGGTGCCCGCGGAGTGCTTAAAACATGACTCAATCACAGCATCATACAGCCCTGGGATACGACTGTCAGTCAGTGTCATTGTATTAAAGAACCGAAATGTCATTTACAACTACCTCAGGTGAGGATTTGTCTTTTACCTCACTTCTTTTTCATTAATGCGAATACATTATGTAAGAGCTCATGATTCACGTACATCCATATGTATTTATTTATATGTATGTAAAAGGCATATTGTTTAGGTATATAAATAATATATATGAAAACTCTCAGAAAAGAGCATTTTTCACCTACTGTAGGCAGCGCAACATTCTAAATGTCTCTTTTTGGTATTAGGACATGTAAACAACAATCTCTCAACAAAATATAGTATGTATGGTGTATCAAAATACAAATTGATCTTTTTACTTTTCTTTTTTTTTCGGGTTTGAAATACCCAGAATAGGTACAGACAAACAAAACATTTGGGACCAACAAACCACTGGCCTTTAGGAGTTATAAGTGTTAGTTTGGACTTACCTCTTCCTGTGCTGTAATGTTGCAACTTGTCACTGTACACAGCCTCCTTGGTGTATGCCCTTTTCCTAAGGGAGCAATGAATATTGAGAGAGAAGAGAGAGAAAGGGAAGAGAAAGATGACAAGATGAAAGGACGTGTAAACGAGGCCTTATTACTTTTCATGTTTCTCTGTATGGTCTAAAAATGACGTGGCTGAAATTGAATCAGTTGCAGAGGGTTAGCAATGGCAAAATAAGTTTATGAAAATGAGCTGATTTTTAATTAGACCTTGATAGGATCTCTCTGCTTTTCATCTGTCTAGTCTGCCTCAGCATCAAAAGAGCCTGGCCCGCTTCATGAACACTTGCTTAAGGTTGCACACAGCACTGCAGAAAATTCGACTTTCATATATTTAAAGCAGAGCAAGATAGGAGTGTGACAAACTGCTGCAAAATTAAATTGCCTTGACTAAAGTTACTTAACATGGCAAAGTAGGAGTTGTTAGGTTCTCCGTGGAAATGTGTACTCCATTTAGAATATGTCAACTTAGCTGTCCTTACCATCAAAATGATTGCTATGACTAAATGCGCAGCAAGTTTATGTAATGAACTCACATACTGTGTGTTCCACAGTTTGACCTGGGGGCTTGGCTAGATCTCTAATGTCTTACTGTAATGAGTTTCAGTATCAAAGTATTTCAGTACTTTGAAGATACAGTATCTAAATATATGACGGTTGAATAATGCATTAGATGCAAAGTGGTTTTATGTATGGCTAAACTCTGATTAGAAACATTGACAATCCATCACAATGTGATGGAAATCCATTTGCATGCAGCGTTGCCATCTGTCTTTCAATAGTTAATAGCAAATGGGAACGCATGCAGGGATTCTGTATTGGATGGCATGGGGTTAATGTTATTATGTTCCCTATATTTGCTAGAGTGCCCCAGGACGCTATATGCTGTTATTACACTAGCAAAGGTGAACTGGATTTGTTCCTATTTTCTTCCTGAGAAAAAAATCTTTGAAGCATTAAGAAAAACTAAATTCATTTTGTTGACAATTCAATCTGTCATTGAAAAATGTTGCAAATAAGTCATTTAATTACAGCCTTTTCTGCCATGTATTGCAAGAGACAGAAAAAAGTAAAAAATGGTTACCTGCTGCAAACGATGGAGATAGCGATAAGGGAAACAATAAAGACCACTCCTGCTGCCGCTGACCCTGCAATCAGAGGAAGCTGCTCCCTCAGCTCAGACTTGAAGTCATCTGTGTTACACAAAAAAGCACAAGAACAGACTTTGAGAATAGCTCACAATTAGCATAAGGAATAAGAAGAGGCATAGTTGAATGGTTCGACTGGGTGTACTGTACAAAGAAACCATATAGATCTCTCTGTGAGCGGTGCTGACTGAAATCCGGTAAGCTTTAGCAAGACTGGCTGACAGGTGGTGTTTGATAAACCTAGAAAGAGACAGAGAGTGACAGAGAAGGATAAGAGTGATGGGGAGAAAGTGAAAGGGGGGCCTCTAAACCTTCTCAGCTGCTATACCTGTCAGAAACAAGCGGACAAAAAGGTGCACCTTGGAATGTTTTTTCTTACGTGTTGAAAGGAAGGCATCTACTGCCAATCACATGTGTAGCCCAAACATGTTTTATGTACATAGCTGGGGCAGGCTGGCAGGAGTTAAGAGGACAGTGTATGCCTTCCTAAAAGCTCTACACAGCAGAATCCTTCGTTATCTTTGTGTGTGCCTGTATTCCCTCGTCTTTTGCAAGACTGTATTTAAAGCATTCAACGATTTTGCATGCTGCAGGCAAATCAGCAGCTTCTAAATCCAATCCCCCGTGTAGAATGGGCCTATTGGATTAAAGTGATAAAGGGAGAACTAATGCATCTTCCAAGCAGTGTGAGAGCTGGGATATATGAGGAAACTCAATGTGACAGGTATTGCTCACTCTTTTAACTTGCACATTTATCAAGTGTGTTTCAAGCAAACAGTGTGAATGATGTTCCGGCTTCTCAAGCTTCCAGGCAGTCTTCCTGTTTTATTCTGATGCTTATCAGGCATGAAAAGTCCAGATAAATCTCCCCTTCACCCATATGAGAATGGAGTGTTTCTGTGACAGACAGAAATCATGCAGCTACCTGTTTTCGTCGCAAATAGGCTCCTATTACAATTAGTGTGGCCTCAGTTTATTGGAAAACTGGAGAACTCTGACATCATTAACCATACTGATGGACCAATCAGTTATCTTTCATCATACCTGCCAATCAAGTCTACACTGCTTGCGAGTATGTGTGTTTCTGTGTGTAGAGGTGCAACAAGACACCTTATGGAGGTGTATGAAAACGTGCCGAAAGGGTGACAAAGGGGATTATATGTTTTAAGAAAAGATATGGAGGGAGCACAACAGTTTGGTGGTGTCATGACGAGACAGTCGAGCAGGGGGAGAGCAAACTGGCAGGAGGGGCAGGAGGTGGAGCCGTGGGTATTATTGTCAGCGGTTCTCCAGAGTCTGCTGCTAATTGTCTTGACGAATGTCGTGCTATGGCAGCAAGCCAACAGATGAACCGCAAACAATGATTGCTTGAACGGGAGGCATGGAAACACGCACAAGTGTTTGAGGGAGAGATCATTTGTTACCGTCAGGGTGATTCAAAGGTGCCATGACCCTACATCTGCTCTGCGCAGGTAAAGAGTCACAATGATCACCTTCATCACCATTATTATCCTTTCTATCTTCTCCTCCCTCAAGATCATCACCATCCTTTTCATTATTATCATCTTAATTAACGCAATACAAGGAGTACAATGTCACTCCTGTCTTTGATACATTGCACACACATTACATTATGAACTATGGCCACACCTGGAATGTAGGCTAGCAGTCCAGCAGGGAACAACGAGGCAGCACTTGTAATTGCAAATCTTGTAATTGCTATCCATTCAAATGTTTAATTCATCCAGATTGAATGTGTTAATCGTGTGCATTTTAGAACTAATTTTATTGCCTGGGAAGTCTGTGAAAAAACACTACACAAAGAAGGGCTATTTACTGTCACCACCACCAGCCCAGCACACACATTTTCTTGCACTTACACTAATAAACTTAGTTCTGCAGCATTGCCAGTGCAGCAGGTGTTGCAGCTTCTCTTCAACCACTTCCCTTTCCAACAATCCAGCCCCCCCCATGGCAGAAAAATTAATCTCATCAACTACTAATCACAGCTATGCATTCTGGGACGACTCTCCAGCAACAGAAGGCTGGGTGAAAAACCAATTAGCTAAGCATTTTGGATCAAGCACAGTTAGTTGCACAAACAAAAGACACTCAGCGTTCTACATATTCAAAGCACCCACGCACAAACCTGACCGTGAAGGAAATTAATCTAGCTGTAGAAATAGAAGTGCAATCAAACATTACGGTTCCCCTCTATCTCACCTACGAATAATAATGCAACAACAGACAAAGAGCGACAAGAGTGTCAAAAAGAATTGGTGTGTGAGTGTGTGCGTGTGAGACAGAAAGAGAGAGACACACAGAGAGCTGTTTCTCCTGGCTCGCGGATCCTTACCATCTGTGAGGGTTTGGAAGCACATCTTGCTGCTGTATTTGCCAAAGCCAGCCACGGTCCGTGCTCGCACCTGTACGACGTAGACTGTACCCGGCCTGAGGCCCTCCACACGTGCAGTGTTAGTTTGGCTCCGCAGGATGGTGGAGTTAATCTCTGCATGGTCCTGAAAAGAGCAACGAACACACAGAGAGCAGGTTAGCGATGAGTTACAGGGAAGACGTCAGCTGGAAAGTGTTTACCCACACAGTTAAAAAAATAACACTCAGGCAAAACAAGTGTAGTTTGACAGTGAGGAAACAAACAGACTTATCAAGCATTGTATATTTAGGAAATAGCACGGAGAAAGTGGACCAAAGCTGGATGAAATCAGTTTAGGCTGTATATTGTAAACCAGCGATATAGGAAGTGCTGTTTTCAAAAAACAACATTGACAGAAGATGTATACAAACAGTAGCTAGCATAGAAAAATAAATACATGGAAGATAAAGAAGGGTACTGAAGCTCTCTTAAAAATGATGTCTTAAGGGCCAATTTAAATATCAAACGGTAATATGTTTTTGCTTTCGGTTTTTAATAAGGCTTTGGTCAGTTTGAGCTTCAAACACTGCAGCAGGCATATACCCATGAAAACACAAGCACACCACTCACAAACACTGGCACACATACATCATGTGGTAATTAAAATGAATCATTTCTTTTTAACTACAAAGAACAACAGCTACTTCGGAACAATAATAGAGTATTGTCTCTTCAGATGTGCTGTATGGCAGTTTAATTACTGCAGGAAGTTGGAACAATACATCCTCTTGTTTTGTTGTCTGAAGTGCGATGCATTTTAAATATAAAGGAAGGCTAGAAAAAAATCCTAGGTGCAATTGCTTTTTGCGGTGACATACTATGTAGGTGTATGCCTTTTTTCATATGCTCTGTTTCTACATTTGAATATATGTTCGGATCCTGGAAGTTAACATGCATGTTTGTATGTATGCATACATTATGGCCATTCATCATGTAAAAGACTGTGTAGGACATGCCGTCCTGATCATGCATCTCTTTCCATCTTTTCCAGGCTTAAGTCTGCAGTAACGTTTGGGGCTATCTGATAGGGGGGATCAGTAATTACTTAGGTCTGTCACCTTCCCCAACCCAGAGTGAATATGACAGCCAGAAAATAAGACTGCACCTACACTACACCCACCACTGCAGGCTGCTGATAGCTAGATGCAGACACACTGTTGAGAGGGAAAAGGGCAGTTGAAAGTGGGGGGGGCGCAATTCCCTGTGTCAGTAGAAATGTGTAAATGTTGTTTTTATTAAACTTGGTAAATACACTAATAATACATGTTTGACTGCTCTGAGGAAATATGAATAAAAAATCTAAGCTGACAACAGTGTGGAGTGGGAAAGATAGATAGGCAAAGAGGAAGCAAGGGGCAGGGGGGTGACGAGGAGGAGGAGAAAGATGATGGCAGGAAGCGATAAGAAACTCGAGGCAGAAGCAACCCACATCGAAATCATTATCCAATCTGATTGGTGTAATTGAATCATTCCGGTTGCTCCGTCATTGAGCAGACGGAGCAACCCCACATAATGATTTGTGCAATCACATTAGCTCTTATTGGACACTCTGGGCTTGATGAAGACAAATGTTTGTGCTTGGGATGGGAGAGCATCGCATCAACAGGCTTACATTCGGCTGCTGAGAGGAAAAATATGTTTATAAACAGAAAGCTAGATGTAACTTGGTTAGAGCGTTTAATCATCTCGCAGACCTTTTGTCCATTAGATCCCACAATCTGTCACCTCTGTGCTGTGCTGCATACAAATACAATTGTGAATTTAGAATTGAAAAGAGGCAGCTTGTACATTTGAAAGTGATGCAAAAGACATGAAACCCCATGAGACACTGGAGCCACCTATTCATCTGGTATAAGACATGGTTGAGTGCACACGGACCACTTGGGGTCAAGAATTGCCTTCTCCTTCTATCTGTCTTTCCTGAATTTCTCCGGACCACACCCCCATCTGTTGAGTTTGAATGGAGGACAGGTGAGCAGACAGATGGCAAACCGCCCATGGGGGAGAATCCCTTGAGGGAGCACCAGCTAGGAATGGCCCTTTCATGCTGCCAGTCAAAGAGGGATTATGTGCAAGACACACACACTCACACACATCTGCCACTTAAAAATGAGCTGGCATTTGGCCCTCCTGCGAGCTAGGGGATAGCCAATAAAATGCCATGCCAGGAGGGACTTCCAACCACGAGAGGTCCTCTCCTGCTGCCAGTCAAATGGGGATTATGAGGGCCACACCCTAACTCGCTAAATAAAGAGAGTGTTGCAGGTGGGAAGGCAGATGGCGGGACAGCCAATCAAAAGCATTGCCAGAGGTGACAGACAGGATGTACCACGTGGAGTTTGTTTTTGGCAGCATTCAGTAAAATCCCTGAGACAAACTTTGCAAGATTGTTACACAACTTGTACATTGGTTTCTGTCTCAATATGTGTACTAGCTACTCAAACTATAACTACCTGGAACCACATTGACAACAGTTACTGGGCAAATGTGGACATATTTAAACAGGGGGTAGGCAGTATAGTAATGGCGTCATTGGAAGATAATTAACGTTTTAGAATATTGTAAATCAATTGGTTTGAGAGAAAACTAGACGTCTGCATCTCCTCTTGGCTTTATTCAGGCTTTCAAATCTAGCCTGTGAGATCATGGACCATCATAGCTCATTTTAGTGACGGAAAGTGCTTATTGGCTGTTCTACAAATACAGATGCGTGTTCACATCCCTTTGGTGCAAACCTGATTCCAACTCAGAATATCCTGAATGCATTTCTAGCATTGGTAACAACTGCCCACACTGCAAAGCAACAACACATTTTAAGATGGAGAGAATATGTTGCTTATCAAAAATAAACTACCTCCCTAGCTTTAATTGGTACCATTCTAAAGATTTGACTACATTTGCTAGATGTACTACATTATTACTGTATCTATTATAATCATAATGGTGGAACTGCAATACTTTTTCTTGTTAAAACTTTCAATTTATTTTTGTAATTGCCAATTTTCCAACAATTGGCATTTTGTTGCCAGCAGACTGCAGAGGGGGAGATCCTTTCTGCCTGTTCCCACTTAAATTCAGAGGGTTTTTGGCTGTGTGTTTGCCAGTGAAAACCATTGCCGATGATTGTTTGTAAAGGCAACCAAGACATTATATGATATTGGACTATAGAACTAACCTGACAAGATATGACGTGTGTGTGTGTGTGTGTGTGTGTGCGTGCGTGCGTGCGTGCGTGCGTGTGTGTGTGTGTGTGTGTATGTGTGTTGTGTGTCTTTTTGTTTGAATGCGTGGGTCTGATTTTCAAATAATGCCAACCACCCAAAATGGACAGCATGGCCACCTGGCGCAAAGACAGACATTGTGAATACCATGTGTCCTCTTCACAGGCTCACACACATGAACGCATGCAAGTATAACACACACAGAGACACACACAGAAACACACAAAGGGAACATGATAGGTTGGGGAGTTTTATGAGGGACAACATTATATTTATATCTTTGCTAAGAAATAAATTGAATTGAAAGAAAATAAAAATAAAATGGACAAATATTGACTAACAATTCAAATCTTATTGAGTAGATGGGTTTTATTACCAAATGCAAATGTTCAATACTACTACATAGATTCTAATCTAAAGTAAAAATAAATACAAATTATTATCATTAAAATGCTGTTAAATATTGTATTTAATTCCATTAAAACCCCATAAACGCCTTTTGGAAATACATAAACTAAAATAATGCAAAATCAAATATATCACCATAGGGCATAACAAAAAAAAAGGTTTTATCGTTTTCAGGTCCTGCAAAAACACCTGCTTAATGCTAGTGAGCATGCTACGAGAGAGGTGAGAAGCATCATCTTATCAACAATGCAATCTGAAGGGAAATGTATTTACTTTGGCGCTTTTAGTTATTTTGTCTTTTTCTTTGCAGCCAACTTCTTTTGAGATGACTCTTTGTATGCTTTCCATTCACCTGGAGACTAACAAGGAGGCCTCAGTGAGCGGGGTGGGAGTCAAACAAAGAGGGAGAGAAGAAGGCAGTCTGAAGGAGGAAATGTGAATACCCTTGCCAGGGGACCGAGGGAGTGCAGCACAAGTCCTGCTTTTCACAGGCTCCATTAAAAATCTAAACTTGTCTGTACAACATCTGTGTGTGTCTACAAAAGTGTTGTGGTCGACTCTGAGGGCTGGCAGGGAGAGAAGAATAGAATAATAAATACTTTTTCTTGGCCTCTCTTCTGAGGAATTGCTAATTGTATGTAAAGTACAAGAGGGATTTTAAAGTGCCAAAAATGCAGATGGAGCTAGGGTCAGTGTGCTGCAGATCCTGGAGACGTGCTGTAAACTTGTGTTTGCACCTGACTTTATCACTCAGTTGCATGAGAGTGCTGTTGTCATACAGAATGAATACACCTGAACTACTGCTGATAGTCACACACAAACACTGACAAAAGCTCCCACCCTCTCTCTGACAACAACAAACACAGAGCCATCAGTAACCGGAGCCACTGGCTGCTCTGCTCCAGCCTTAATGGAAGGCCTGACCTTCGCTATGCTGAGTTATTTCCACCCTCCCGCAAATTTCAGGGAACCACAGGAAAAGGGTATGAGAAAAATAGAGACTGGGAGCATGAGATTTTACTTTTTACCTGAAAAACTTGAATTCATTTCATCTTGCTATCCAATTTATAGGGTAGAATCCTCTTGAGAGAAGTGCCTTCAGGACTACATTCTTAACTCCACTGTTCTGGCATATGTTTAACTTGCAACATAAAAATTGGGAAATCATGTCTGAAAGTATCACAAATCGTTATGCATATGTGGTGCTTGTGAGCCAGACATTTAGCTGTTACTCTAACCTGACTTTCTGGATCGTATTTAATTGTCTCACTAGAACCTAAAAGGGACACTGTGAAAGATCTGGTGGCATCTAGCTTTTTTGGTTGCAGATTGCCAATCCCTTACCATAACACTGCTTTGGGAGCAAAGACATTCAGGTGAAGAGTGGTGTTGCAGCAGTTGAAAAAGCCTTTAGAAGAACGGCTGCATAGGGTACAATCCCGTAAAACGTATGTCTCTATTGTCTGGGTGCCAAGCAGTCAAGGTAACACAACCATGTAGGCACAGTTCCCCTTTTAAAACCATCTATGGACTTTTTTTCTCATGACAACTCCACATTTTATAACTTATTTAATACTTACAAATTACCTACTTACTTACTGAAACTACTTAAAATTACGTATGTTCAAATTGGTTCTTGTGTCTAAAAAAGTCTGTTGAGAGAAATATGTTATTATCTTGATGGATACAAATCCGACATTAAGAAAAGGTTGTAAAAAGAAAAATAAGCTGAATGTTCTTTTAGAATTACCCTGAGGTAGTCACAATGCCATGCTGCTGAAGAAGTCACTCTTGTAAATGGGCATAGAGGGCTTCCTTTGAGATGAAGTCTACAGAATGACAGCTCTCTGCTGTGCTAAGGACTGGCTGACTGTGCCAGGCACGCTGAGACAATCAACTCCTGAACCATGAACAGTGCGACTACTCTCAGATTAATGCATGCATCGGTGAAATGCATAAAAGAGAAGGTATAGCAGGGCCGTTTTTATATAAAAAATCTTATTTTTATGACTGCATTATCCAGCCTATAAATTACCCATGGCTCTGGGGATGTGTGTAAGACATGATAGACATTCCTCCATTATTGCCTTTTATGACTAAAAGGCCACATCATCACTTTACGGCTGCGTGAAACTTCCAGATTGTCAGGACCTCTCAAGCATTCAGAGAATCAATGGAGAGTTGGCAGGACTGACCTCGGAGGAATGCAATTGAATTCCCTGCTTCTCCATATTCAACAAGCAGGCCAAACATGCATGTAAATAACCCAAGCCAACTCGTGTGACACTGAAGATTTATGCAGAGAATTCATCATGCATTTGTATAATAAATCTTAACTGCTATGGAAATTACACACATGGCATTTGATTTTCCACCATCTGCTTTTTTTCTTCTTCTAAGGGTTGGTGCTCAATCAGGCACAAAAACACATCAGCAGTGTCACTTTGGACAGCAGTGGCTGGGTGAGGAAAAGTCTGTTTGGAGCCTATAAAAAGCCTCGTCAGATCCAAAATACAGAGTGTCAAGGGAGGACCACCAATGTGGCAATCTCATCTCCACAGCCTAGTGAGCTGCAAAGCAATCACTCTGACTCACCTACTGTGTGTTACTCACACTCGCATGGTTGTACATGTTAGTACAGGGGGAATATGAAGAAACAAAAAGACAGCGAAGAGTGCAATAACTCCGTCACCTGAATCATCCCAGTGCAATTAGCCACCTTGTCCTCGTTAATTCACTAATTTGTGATTACGCCATGCTCATCTATTTGTGTGAAGACATGCTACATAAACATCAATAGGATTAGGTTTCATTGATATTCACGAGTTAATGGGAGTCTGTATAAGTGTTATTTACACAACACTAAGCTGTCTGACGGATAAGGTTTCTCAGGGCTATGGCAATCAGATTCAATTTCATGACCTGTGCAATGCCAGAGGGGGAAACAGCAAGCATTGCAGCTAATATTGGATCACAGAGTTTCCTACTGCAAACATAATTGAAAAACATGATTGTTGTTCTCTCTGATAGAAAATGCTAAATGTGACAAACACTCTTCTAAGATGCAGCTGTGAATATTGATCCACAAAGCTTAGTCAAAACGAGTATGTGTGAAATAAATAACTTAACATAAAAAGAAAAACATTTGTAAAACTCTATTGATTTTTGTCTTTTAAATGGAGAGCAGAACACGGGTGAAGGTGCACCGAGCCTCGGATAAAGTATTAGCTTAAGATGACAAAGCATGCACGATCAACCTTGCTATAACTATTGATCAGCTTTAGGAGGACAAACAAAAAGATAGAGTCTCCGATCTCTGGGTATCATTATGTCCAAGGCCTTGGGAAAAGCCTACAGGTCAATACTAGAGCAGCATAGGCGCTATGGGGTAAGGCTGGCGACTTAATAAAGCAGACGTATTGTGTGTGAGCAGACGGGTCGATGTGACTCCCCCCAGACGCAAAGCATTTTCACAGCAGGACAGGTTGCTGCACTGTGCAGAGTGGGCCCGGAGCAGAGGTCAACCTATTCACTTCATCAGCAGCAGAAACCAAAGAACAGTGGGAGAGATGGAGTGAACACAGTGAAAGAACATATTATCAACCCAGGGGACTCTGCTTACAGATATCTGGTAAATCTTACATTTTTGGGGGACTTTACATGAAGTTTGTGGAGAGAAGAGGAGACAAAACCTGAAAGAGCTGACATACATATACATACTAATATACACACACATCAAGCTTCAAGGTTCTTTATTGTCAAACTAACATAGCTACAGAGTAATTATGTCGTTGAAAATCTTATGTCACAGGCTTCTCCAACAATGCAACATAATAATAATACAGATAGTAAAAGTAATACAAAAAGAAAATAGTTCTAAAATAAAGCGAGTATGTGGAATAGTGCAGTACGAGTCTATATACAAGTTATTGGAATGATATATATTAGATAGTAGATATATATTACTAAGTAGCAGATGAATGTTTTGACACTGACATGACAAAACATTGACATCACATGACACTGTGCATGCTATCAGACATACCATGTACATTCAAATATGTACAGCCACACATACACACACACACACACATGCACACGCACACACACACACACGCACACGCACACGCACACGCACACACACACACACACGTATCTTACCTTTTCGTAATACCGCAGCTCGTAGTCCAGGATGATGCCATTGGGCTGCTCTGGTTGTGGCCATGACAGTGTGAAGCTATTCATGGTGGAGCTGATCTGGTGCATGATGGGGACTATTGAGGGAGCTGTAGGACACAGAAAGAGTAATACAAAATGAATACAGGGGTTTTTCTAGAAAAATATAGTATAAGGGCAATACTGTGGTGCTGATCTTGTATATAAGATATATAAATGATCGCAAGAACTGACACCTGTATACAAGATGGCGCCGCGGACAGTAACAACAACGCGACGTTTCGAGCTTTGTAAAAACAAAGCTACAGTATCTATGCCATCTATTTCACACGATTATATCTTTGCAGTAATTGTAGCATTTTTGACGAACAGAAATATTGTTTTCTGGCATCACTTTAAAGTTTTACGGGGAAAATCACCATTTTGGTAAGAGGGCGCACGCCGAAAGTAAGAGGGTGCAGCGCCCCTGTTACCCGGTTTAGAACCTGGAATATATTTCTTTAATAATATTGATTATTACATATATCTCTCAACCTAAATAGTTTGTAAACAAAACAGTTATAGACATATTCCCTTAGCCACAAGGGGAGAGTTATGGTTTGCATGCAGCTCATCTTTCCATTTTAATCTAAGATATTAAACTGTAGAATTGTGTTAGCCTTTTTCAGTCATTTTTATTATTTACTTTAGAATCATAAATTGGTATACAAAGCTAGCTCTAGGACAAACAGTACTTCACATCACTTGTATAACATCTAATTATAGTAAGAACATAATCTCCACATTTTATAAATAGTGGACAACTTTAATACATATCATCCCATGTGTGTACCTTGAAGAAATCATTAACAGCCATCAGTACTCAGCACAGAATTCAAGTTTAAACAACTTTCACTCTCATCAGTACCCAGGTAGCCAGCTGAGTCAGGCTGATTAGAGCTTCATTCAGCCATATTCTGGCACTGCAGGACCAAAAATATGCCGGCTCTGGCCAAAACAAGGCTGCAATTTTTGGCAACGATGTGAGGGTGTGGACATGGGCTGATTGTCAGCCGCAGTTAGCAGGACTCCGGCCACAAGCCTGGCGTGAGTCCAGCAACCAATTGTGGTGGATTTAGTCTGCTGTTGGGCTGAGTTATTTTGGCTACTTGGGCAGAATATAAGAGCACTCTGTGTTGCATCTAGACGGTGCAGTTATTAGGTTCCTAAGCTTTTTAAAATATAGATTTAACATTTGAATCAGTATACATCTGCTTAATCTGATTATGCAAATAAGTCACTTGTTATTGTTTTTTAAAATATGTCTGCATATAAGCAATTGACTAATGTACTGTAATTGTATTTTTAAAATAATTCATGCAGTTACTAATAAAAGCTTCACTAGGCTTTTTTATTACCATGATTGTGTAAGTAAAATAACCTTGTAGGCATGAATCTAACATGACATTATAATGTATATTAAAAGATACATGTATTAATCATAGCATGTTCAATGTCATACGGAGCCATTCAGTTAGAAATTACTCCTTGAATGAATGATAAAATGAAATGTTAAAACCTAACACGAACAGAGAATATTTATTTTATTTGCCCATCTAGATGTAACCTAACAACAATTATACAAAACTGTCTTTTTAATGATATAGAGTCTAACACCAAGTAGCAATTGCTGATTTAATTGTAACTCATGTCATGGTAAGCCATAAAATTACTACACAGTGGCAGTAAAATAAATATGTTTGCATCCATTCAATAAAAAGCAGACTGTACTTGATTATCAACAAAACAAGAACCCTACATGTATATATATACTATACAAATAAACTGACAGAGATACATTCTCTATGTAACAAACATCTGTTTATGCACCACATGCTATTCAGCCGTTTGGAATCAAATTGTTCTAGCATTGTGATCGCTTTGGCCCAGCTGCACAGACTCTTATATCCTTCAGCCCTAGTTCACCTGAATGCCCCCACATGGGCTGTTAATTAACCCAGGGACATGGCCATGTCCTGCTCATTGCAACGTTTCTGTCCCATGCATTGCCATTCCTCCATCATCCCTTCATCGCTCCTTACATGCTGCTCAAAGATTGTGTTACTGGACATTAGGAAGAAATAATCCATAATAACAGGATACTGCTGTTTCTGTGTGTCGTTTCAAATCTTAAAATGTCAGTACAACTGCCTTTTTCCTTTTACTGCAGGCATTATAAAGGTCTTAGTTTTAAGTACAACACCCTTTTTTTTCTTGTTTATGGACTTTACAAGTATAAAATACAATTAATTAACCTGAATTTAAATCAATCCTAATTTACCATCAGAACAGGGGTCACATGTCATTGCATCGTCCACCCCCCTTTGTCTTTTTGACACGATGCCTTGCAAATGTACTCACTGATGAAATGTACACATGTTTTAATATCTTGTCACTGAGGCTGACCGTTGCATAGTTTAATATCTGCACTTTTTTCTCTTTGAGGAAAAAAAGCACATTTCCTTGCAGCTAATATCGACATTTTTTGCATCAATTTGTAATGTTAAAATGTCTAATCTTGGGCAAACTCACTAGTTCCAAAAATGTCTCAAACAGTGCTGGCTTGGACAGTAGGTGAGCAAGTTTCTAAAATCTGCAAAGTTAAATCAATATACACTTCCAAGAGGTCTTTTGGTTACCTGTAAATCAAGTTAAAGGTTTTGGAGGTATTTTGTCTACCCTGGTTAGCTAGGTGCCATGTTTTGTCTACAGTTTATTCCAAACAAACCACTCTTGCTGCTGGAGAATCTTGAAAAAAGCACAATTTCCTGTGTAGCAGAAGATTTAGCATCTTACTATAAATGATGTGGTCCTACACCATTTTCTGCCAACATCCAAACAGTTTTAGTTATTGCACTTGCACTTGCTCTTCCTATTGGGTTTAAGTATTCAGGGCTCTGTTGGAAAATGTGACTCCTTATACCTTACTGCACCAATCAGGGCAAAGCAACATTTGGATCAGAATAAGATGCCGTTTGCACAGTTGTTTGCTTTTGTAGCCACCAGTGCTGTGTCAATATAAACTGATCCAATCACTAAACACAGTCTAAAGGAGATTACAGTTGCTGAGTTGTTGAGTGTTAAACCAAGACGTTCTTCTTAATTTAGATGTGAGTTTCTGCTTGCTATTTTCAGAGGCTTTTAGTAGAATCAGTAATAATAAATAAATCAAAAAAGACATGATAGAGAAATGTATCAAGTTTATAATAGTGTCGCAAATTACAAATTGCTTAGCTCGTATGTACAAATCAATCTCTTTACTGCCATGTAAAGATGCTCCAGAATGTACTGTATGATCACAAACTACTCCAAGGTGCTAAAATAAACCATAATTAAATTTCAAAGTCCAAAGATGAATCCAACCAAACGTACTCATCAAACCAATTTGTAAACATACAAGTACGTCTGATTAAAAACTGATTCTGCGCCGTCTGCTCATAATGAGTTCAAAGCTTTGCTGTTTGTATAGAGTGCAGTCAAACGAGTCTCCACCCATGTCTGCAGGCATAAATACAGCCCCACACAAGTCCATGCTCAACATTTTGTGCCTATCAGCCTCTTGGCTCTCGGCCTGCTCGCTGCTGAGGCCTAGTCATCGCTCCACCTGGTCTCCACTCTCCATTTTTCTGAATAACCCCTCTACTCCAAAGGCAATAAATAGCACCCTCTCTCAACTAAATGATCCTTTTCATCAGACTCTTTAATGGTAATTTATTTCTCTTTTTACTTCACTCTTGCATAAATACTCATGGGTTACGGAGTTCTGTAAGGAATACAGCCCCTGACCTCTTTTATTCCACGTAGTTGCCTGCTGCTGTTTTCTAGTGTTCTACAGTTTTAATCAGATAAAGTATTTCTTGATTTGAGTGTCAGAGAGTTAACTCAAATGTAACTAAATAATGAATGGGCACTGTTTATCCTGTCAGTGTGAATGGATTCTGTTACGTGTGCCTCCCTTGGCTCTCACGTCCTGCATTCCCTCATTTCCTCTCTCCCTCTCTCTCTCTTACCCTCGACAGAGAGTGTGAGGGCTAAGCTTCACCTCGGTGCACTTCAGCCTCTTTGCCTCTCAGGCTGGTTCACGCTCCACTGACCAGGGCTAGGGCTGCCTGGGCCGCATTATCAATTACCGGCTACAGGCACACACTGTTTCTGACAGACCCAGGGGAGGGGCACTCTACACATACCATTCCTGCAGTGGAAAAAGTGGCTGAGAAGGGAGGTATTTCCACAGCCCCAGCCCCGACTCCTGATCCCAACTCAATTCATGCATTCAGGCGGACAGACAGAAAAACATCCATTTTTACCCTGAATAATTGTTTCTGCATGTTTTGAAGTGCTAAGTGTATGACTGTGTGCTGGTGAATATAGCCTGGGTTAAGACCTCTGATTAACCACCCGGATCTCCAATCTTCTCAGCAAATCAAACAAATATGCTGTTGTGCTTATTATAGGCTTTTAACCCCATTTGAAGAAACAACCGAGCCAATCAGAGCTTCGTAGGTGGGATTTGGACATCTTCTCCCTGTGCCAGAGCAGCTCTTACTCCTCACGCAAAACATTTTTTTAACCGACAACTTAGTTGATTATAATTTTCATGTGGTATTTGATCAACTTGTTCATTTATCCTTCTGATTGCTAGCAACGTTTCTTTGTTGGTGACAGCAATGATATGTGAGTTACTTGTGATCGGTTGAGACAAAAGTAACCCTAGCTGACATTAAAACAATGTCAAAGTTAATTAACTTTAAAACAATGGAAATGTTATTGGATTTTTTACAAGACAAGCTATTGTTAGCTCTAAATATCTTGTTATACTGTAGAACTTACAATTCTCCAACAAAAAATCTCACTGCATTCCCCAAATAAAAATAAACTTTTCTCACTGACATGTCCCACTGGACAGACAGTGACCGTGTTTTGGAGAAGACAAGCAAGAGAAAGGGATAAAGAGTGTGTATGTGCATGTATGTGTGTCTGTGTGTCCTAGTAGCCTATGTGTGAAGAGCCTGTCAGAGACAATGTGTTGTGCCTGTATGAGGTTGAGGTTCAGCCCAATGAAGCACCGCTG